TTGCATGTTTTTTAAGCCAAAACAAGGCTTTATTTTTGGTCCACTCTATACACTGCTAAAAAGATCTAGAAATAGGCAAACATTTCTTAGAATTTACCCTTAATTTGAGCAGGTAAACACGATGATTTGCCAATGGAATGAGTATTTCTACGCTTAAAATAAGATAATTAGATAATATGCACTTGGAAAAAGACAATATAATTGTTTATTTTTCTTGTTTTAAATGTAAATTGCTTTGTTCCACTTGCCTCCTCAATTCAAGAAAATAAAATGCATTTATTTTAAGAAAAAATGATTTATTTAGGTTTCAGTTTTTGCAGTTTCAAGCCTCAAACTCAACACTATTTCTGACATTTTGAAATGAAAAAGTTTGGATTGCAGTGAATTGTTTTTTTTTTTACTTTTTTGGAATGATACGAGCTGGAAGACTGAAAATCTTCACCAGTTTTAAGAGAATTCAATTTGTTAAACATAAACAGAATTTTTACATTTATAAAAATGTGACATGTATGAAAAATGTAAAATTAATTCAAGTAAAAAATAACAGAAAAGCAATCAGAGAAAACAGCACAGTTATTTTAAAATAAAATAAAAATAAAAACGCGTTATTTAAAGTTGAATTTCTGGACTGAATTTTTTCAAACTTGGAAAGTTTTATTCTGGATCAAATTTCCTTCCATAGCTTTGAAAGAACCGATGATTTGCAGCGGCTGAAGCCTCCTTTCATTGGCTGTAACTGAAGCCCTGTTTAAGTTGATCAAGTCGTCAAGGAACTTTTAATTGGTTAGAGATGAGTTGTTGTTTCCCTCCGCTGTGACTCGCAGGCCCACCTCAATCATTCAGGTTATTCTGATTCTGTTTGTTTGTCTATAAAAGCCTGCAGGGGAATAAACGCTCGCCCACATGGAGGGTCGGGACAATACTTAGAAAGTTTCGCTTAATGAGTCGATCAAAGTTTGTTTGGCGAGTGCAGAATGTGGGAAGGTTAAGAGTAAGAAACTTCCTGCCCAGATTTTTTAATAGAAGCTGCAAGAACTCCCAAACTGGGATCAGCCCAGCGTAAGGGAACCGATCGCTGCCTTGTTAGAGACAACAGATGATCTACGAATGTTGGCCCATCACTATTTGGACTATTTATTCTTTGATCATTTAGAAAATATAAAAACAGATGCATGCTAGTCTAGGGAACTCCTGATTTCCCAAGATGCAATTCTATTCAGTTTATTTCTATAGCTCCAATTCACATCATGTCATCTCAGGTCACTTTATAGAACTAATTCAACCAGATCCTCCAGTCAAATTGATTCAAAGTTTAAGGAAAACCAGCTGATTGCATCGACTCATTGACTCTTCAGCAATCCCTCACACTAAGCATGCTTGTAGCGACAGTGGAGAGGAAAAACT